TTCATACATTAAAAATGTCATTTTAAACTTCGTTTAACATAACGGTGGAATCGGTCCTTACAGAAGCAAGTATCAAGTTTTCGTATTCCAAAAAATATCTGCAAATTCGCAATATTTATTGTGGTTTATTACCCCCAACAACACTAAACCCAACTCTATTACTATGTGCAAAAACTCGATAATCTGACATCACGACCCAGACAGCACAAATCCAATTCTGGACATTCCAAAAACGTCCATTATATACTGGAATTTATTATATATTCCATTGAGACCAAACATCCCCACTTTTTTTACACAACCGCAACTCACCACACGCTATTTTATGATATTAATAATTTATTTATTATTTTCGCAACCCGCTATACACCATTTATTAATTTTTATTTATTAAAAATCACTTGACCAGAGCAGGTATCGAACTCACGACACGTCCATTGTCTTTCTGGGTATTCCATCGCTAGGCGACCTCGACCAAAAGGACCCACTTGACAAATTCTTACTAGATATACTATAGATACGGTTATAATAGAATAAGATTTCAAACTTCCACTGATAGAATGAAATGTAATAGATTTAACTTGTCAATTTTTAATGACCATTAAAATATATAAAGATGGGTATTATCTGGTAGGCTAAATAAATAATGACTTAAGATGGACGTCCACTGGACGTCAAAATAATACTAAACTTAAAATTAAGTCCAAAAACAGACGTCCTCTGGACATCGACATGCAGCTGTCAAATTAATTATCATAAACGGACAGAGGGGTCTATTCTGTAACACTTCCTTTATATTTTAACGGCCGTTAAAATATTGGCGGTCTCTAAAAATATTTTTGTATTCACTAACGTACTTCTGTCATTATTTAAACGGATTTCTTTAAAATAGTCCTCAAATAACAATACTTTATAAAGGGATGTTAAAATTCGCCTTTAATTTTTATTGGTTTTGAATTAAAAATCGAGGATTTGTATGGTTATGTTTTCAAACTAATTCAAATAAATCTTAAATATGATGTTGTCAATGCCATTTGTAAGAAAATCCGTTAAAATAAGTAATTTTTAACAGGCCTCTAAAATTTGTGTATACAGAATACCATTTTTGGTTAAAAAAATTAACGGTCCGCTAAAAGTTTAATTTTTAAAGACCTAAATTTTAACGGATGTGTTACAGAATACCCGTACACTGGATGTCTGAATACGGATATGGACGTTCTGGCCCTGAAATGGATCTAAATAAGTGGACGTCCATTGGACTATGTGTGTTGTCTGGGGAACTGTATTCAATCAAAAGGAACAGAAGACGTCGTGGTTATTAAAAAAAAAGTAAAGTAATATAGTTTAAAAAAATTAAAAAACACGCTTTTAGAGCATATCAAACTAAAAAGTTAAAAATAATTTTTTTTTAAGTGTAAGGGTTAAAGAAAAGGTCCTTTATTTCTCACAAGTCTATTTAATTGGCGACCGGTTTCGAAGCTGTCACTTCATCATCAGGCACACCTTGACTATTTCCATAAAGGAAGCGCAACATAAAGTTTAACAAAACGAGTTAAAAAAGGTCATATGTAATACAATACTATTTTTTAAAAATATTGTAGGTTAGGTTAAACCGCGAGATGCCTGTTTGAATAAATTAATTAAAACACATGTAAGACTATTATTAACTAAACAACACAAAATTTTCTGGAGATAAGCGAAAACAACTCGTTTATCTATTGCTGCGTTTGAGAATCCACATCGGATGCATTTTTTACATCTCGAGCGTTTTTTTATCCACATTGGACACATCTGTCCCATTACATTTACGTATACTGAATCACGTGATCAAAGATTTACTACATCTCAGATGCATCCGATGTGGATTCTCAAACGCGTGTTTTTTAGTTTTTTTAAACTATATTTATTTTTTTACTTTTTAGTTCGATTAATTATTAAAAAAAAAAATGTAAGTTGAAATAGCTGAAAAAAAATTATTTTATTTTCAGCCGTGGGGATTAGAACCAACGATCGGTGAGTCTGGCAATCGAAATCCCGCGCCTTAGACCGCTCGGCCTCGAACGAACTTGACTTAGTTGAGTTTTGGATATACTGAACTGACAGTAATAAGCCACTTGAGTCCAAAGGAGAGTTACAAACATCCATACAGGTGAAGTTAATATAAGGGTGTTAAAAATTGATAATCTGCAAGTTTGTAGGATATTCGAACCTGCAAAGCTTTACAAATGATTTACACACGCAAAAAGTGAAAACACGTTTCTGTAATACCATGTTTTTCTTTTGCAACTGCAACTGATATTTGCAGATGCAAGTACGATTTGCAGAGCTTCTGTAATCTCACCCTTAATATTTACTAAGAGATTCGTAGAGTTAAATAACTTTAGAAACCTTTTAAAAAATACTTTTACAGCCGACTATCTTCTACACCACTGATTTATAATTTTGACTTTTGTAAGCATTGACAAGTTTAATTTAGGTTAGGATTTAAGTAAACAAACAGAATTTTAGAAATAAAAATAAAATCAAAATAAATAATTTACAAACAATAATAACAAGAAACCATTTTTAATTAAGTACTAAAATGAAAGTATATGAAAAACACATAATAAAAAAATGAGTGGTAGGTATTAATAAAATAAATTTAGTATTGTTTTATCTTGAGCTAACATAATTTATCTCAATAATTATAGTCATAAAATTGGACATTGGGACAAAAGCTGCCTATTTTAACGACTTTTAAATGGTCTTTCTTCCAAAATACATTTAGCCGTTTTGGAAATTTTTAGTTCTTAATTCATGCTCTATTTAACTTATTATTTCTATTGATACTTAAAGACTTGCAAAAATTTTTAAACTATGTCATAATTTTAAAATAAAGAAAAAATGGTTTTTCGAGTCCTTAGTTTAAATGTATGGGTCTATATTTTGCAGTATGTTCTATTTTTCCAAGGACATTAATATTTTCATTGAAAATTTAACACCATTTTTCAACTTAACATAGGACTGAATTTTTTAGTATTTTTAAATATAATCTAGAAAAAAAAATGTATATCACAAAAAAAATTATATTACAAGAAAAAATTATATCACAAAAAAAATCTATATTTTAATAATAATTTCTAATTTTTTAAATTAATATTTGTTAAGAGAACTCTGTCCAACAATTTTTTGAAAATTATTTTATAAAATTGGCATACAGAAAGTAATTAAATAGGTATATTTCCTATATTATTAGTTATTAGGCAGTGTGGATTCATATATACTCACAGTTCTAAAACATAACTAGGCTCAAGATGTGAAATATTGTCATTGATGCTGCAACTGAGCTATGTCATGAAAAACTAATTTTACAGGAAACTATAAAATGATAATAAGCACATTAGAATTCATACTTATTGCCAGATATTATAAATATATTTTTGGTATGAAATACTGACATTACACATTGCAATGCATGAAGCACTATTGGTTGCATATTTTTTGAAACAAAGTGAATTTTTGATTTTTTGTCAACAAGTCTTGCATTATCAACGATGATATAATCTAGATCCTTAAACTTAAACATAAAATGGGCTGTGAGCACTAGTACCAGTGAAGTTCAAACCAAGCTCACAGGGATTCTTATAGCAGCAAAATAATCCAGAAACAATATCACTGGAAGGAACATGCTCATCTATACAGACAGTAGACAAGCAGTACTCACCTTGGACAGACAACACATTTACTCATGGTTAGTATTAGAATGTCACAAAGCTTTGGCTGAAGTATCCATTCAATATGGTCACATTAAGATCGATCAAAGTTCACATCACATTGAAAGGTAATTGTCTTGCTGATTCACTAGCCAAGAAGACAGCCAACCAAATACTTTTTATACTAGTTCTGCCATTAGACTGACAACATCAGTAGTGATAAACCTAATTATTAAAGAACATTCCTTTGTGAAATGCAAGGAAAGATGGGATGAAACAAGAAGCCAGAGGTACCAGGGAGCTTTTAAGTTATCCTGACAACATTACAGCAAACAAATTCCTGACTATGACTAGACAGAATCTGTGCCTGACCACAGGCATTCTGACTGGCCATTGCCAAGTACGGAATCATCCTCATTAGATTTGTTTTCATTAGTACTGTGGGCCATGTAGCCTTCCCCACCTTGACCTTTGCAGATCTATCGTGGATATCTTCCATGGTATGGGGTTATCAGAATCTGCACTCTGCAGGGGATGCGAACAAAAAGATGACACCATCGAGCATATCCTCTATGATTGCTCGACACTATCATTTTATTAGAATATTTGTGTTCAGCGAGTATTGGCTAACACTGGCCGATATAAGAGAAGCAACTCTTAGCATCATCTACATCAAATCTGTAGGCTGGCTGACGAGCTAAGAGGGGCATATTAATTTAGGAGGATGCACAAAGGACCTAGTTAGGCATAAGTGCCGTGGGGCAACAAACCATATACAGTATACACATTACTGATACAGATAATCTTAAGTCTTGTAACAACCAATTTTTACAAACAGGTTCAATAAAAACAACACATCTGATATTACAACTGGCAACTAGAGGGCGTTATCTTAAGTAACACTTATCCCTATATCTGTTAGCCCTATTTCATGTATTTTTCTGAAACATTCTGATTGAATGATAAAATATTAGGTATTCCTTAAAAAATAAATTTTATAAATTTATGGACAAGTTAATTATAACTGAACGTTATAAAATACACCAAAGGTTTATTTCATCTAATTAGCAATATCCTTTGAAATTAACAAAATGCTATTAAAAAACATGTCAGCACTGGAACAAATTTAGAGCACCTGCTTGATTTAACTAGTGCTCTATTTTTAGATTTCTAAATAGATACTATATAATGAAACGATCTATTAATAAGTGCCAATAAGTAGGTAAAAATAACATTGCTGCCAACTTTCACCTTTAACTTTTTGTAACAGAGTATTTGTAATTCTGCAGATTCCGACCTACCTCTAGCAGCTGAAGACATGGGAGTCAAAAGAGAGATTCCTCAAGGTGGAATAATATTGGAGGAAAAACCTTTTGTTTATATTTTATGTTCAAAATTTAGGACCGAAAGATGTGATTTCTGTTTTAAGAAGTAAGTTTTTACTTTCTATGTAATTTTAATGTAATTAGGTATTAAAAACAGCAAATATAGGTACTCAATAAAAAATAAATAATGAAGGAGGAAGTTTTTATTAATGATTTATTATGAATTGTTAGATGTATCTAAAAGTGTTTACATTGTTCAGAATGAAAAATTGCTACAAACTAACTGAAAGCTTAATAAATTTTATAAACACATTGGAATCTGTCAGCTATTGTGTTTATAAATAAGCTGTCTTAATTTTAATAATGTGTTAAAATTGTTTGAAATTTTGAAATCTGTTTCATGTCTTCATTAAAAATAAATTATTAGAAATGTGATATTTTATATTAATATAGTTTGAATTGCTTTTTACAAAAAGAAATATATAATATACTAGCTTTTGCCCGTGGCTTCGCACGCGTGGTGTCGTGTTTATAATTTAAAAAATTGAATCATTTATAATTTTTATTAATTTTTATTAATTATTATTAATTTTTATTAATTTTTATTAATTTTTATTAATTTTTATTAAATTTTATTAATTTTTATTAATTTTTATTAATTTTTATTAATTTTTATTAATTTTTATTAATTTTTATTAATTTTTATTAATTTTTATTAATTTTTATTAATTTTTATTAATTTTTATTAATTTTTATTAATTTTTATTAATTTTTATTAATTTTTAATAATTTTTATTAATTTTTATTAATTTTTATTTATTTTTATATATTTTTATTTCTTTGTATTTATTTCTATTTATTTTTACTTATTTTTATTTATTTTTATTTATTTTTATTTATTTTTATTTATTTTTATTTTTTATCTTTCGTAAAAAATAATTTTTTTAAAGTATCCTATGTTACTTCTAATACCTCCAAAAATATGTGTACAAAATTTCATGATGATTGGTTAAGTAGTTTTTGCGTGAAAGCGTAACAAACAAACTTACTTTCGCATTTATAATATTAGTAGGAATAAATGTGATTTTAATTATTATTTTTCATTAATGTTCTACTTCAAATATTGTACAGGGTGCAAGGTATAACACACCCTCATTATTTTAACAGCAGTTCTCCTAAAACCAAAAGTTTTCTAAGTCGTTTTTTTAATTTTTATTCCCAGATATAACTTCTATCATTGTATAGATATATTTATACAGGGTGGGGCATTTTTAGATCGGCTAGTAAACGCGAACGGGTGGGGGTAGAGAGCCGCGGTTGACATCGCTGGATTTGTTATTTACAATGGTTATCTGGACAAGAGAGCATCGCGTGTTCGCAGATGAGGTGTATTTAAAATCGTGCGAGCCCGTTATTGTTGTGCAGCGACAACGCTTCAATATCGGTCGTAACGGTTCAGTTCCTAAACGTGACACAATCAACAAGTGGGTTCAGAATTTTATAACGACGACATCAGCAATTAATCCAAAACCTAAAGGCCGCCCCCGAAGTGTAAAGACACCAGCTTCCGTAGAAAGGGGGAGAAAAGCAGTAATTCAAAGTCCACAGCGTTCTGTCCGAAAACGGGCTGCAGCAGTTGGAATCAGTAGTCGTACACTTCGCAGGATTTTTACACCAAGACCTTCACTTTCACCCCTATAAGCTCATGGTAGGAACTGAACCGTTACGACCAATATTGAAGCGTTGTCGTTGCACAACAATAACGGACTCGCTTGATTTTAAATACTCCTCAACGGCGAACACGCGATGCTCTCTTGTCCAGATAACCATTGTAAATAACAAACGGTAAGCTTTCCTAAATCCAACGATCTCAACCAGGCTCTCTACCACCACCCGTTCGCGTTTATTAGCTGATCTAAAAACGCCCCTCCATTATGCCTCACCCTGTACAATGATTCTATCTAACAACAACGCGCACTTTCTTACTAAATTCGGTATTTGGTTTACGTTTCTTCGGGGACGGTATTTTCGGTGAGAACCCAATTTTCACATCCACAAAAATTCTTTTAGGGACCAGTTATCGAAATGTTCAGTATGCCGCAACACATATTATTGTGGGAGAGCCTGCCAAAGAGAGGGCTGGTCTGTTCACAAATTAGAATGTCAATATATAAAGGAAATTGCCCCCAGAGTATTGCCTGATGCTGCAAGGATGTTAGCAAGGTTGATAAAAATTATTGAAAAAGGTGGTGATAGTACTAAAGGGTACTATACAGATACAAAATATAGGATGTTTAAAGATCTGATGTCCCGTGAGTTATTTTATCATTTTTCATCTACATTTTCAGTTATATTTTTAATTATTTCGTAGATTACCCTAATCTTAAAAATGACCAAATTAGGATGGAGCATTTTTCATCGTTATATGGAGTTCTTTATGAATTTTTTAGAGGGGAGTGTATGCCAAATTCGGCTGAACTTATGGGAATGTATGGCAGGGTAAGCTTATTAGGAATACATTTTCTTAGAAATCAATAGTAAAAAAAAGTTTTTCATATGCTGCAGTTTTTAAGTCTCACAATGCATATTAATCATAGTACCGAAATATTTTAGTGGGATATATTTTTTGTTACTTGTTACATAAGATGATCACCCTTCTTCACTTTCACATTAATCATGTTTAATTTCATTTTTAGATGTGTGTGAACTCTTTTAGTATTTGCAATCAAGAACTTCAAAGTCTGGGTACCGGTATGTATTTAGGAGCCTCAATTGTCGACCATTCTTGTAAACCAACAGCTGTGGTTACTTTTGAAGGAACTACATTGGTCATGCGAGCTTTAGAAACCTTTAGTAATTTGGATTGGTCCAAAGTAAGTATATATGTACCAAGAACAAGTCAAATTAAATTATATTTATGAATTAAATATGAAGTCAAAAATTTAAATTCTTTAGATCCAATTGGTATTATTTTTGTTCCTGTCAAAAGGGGTTGGACATTCAAGAAAAAGATTATATAATTAGAGTTTCATTTTATATATTTTTTATAGTCAAGGATTGATTATGTTTTTAAAAACTTTTTTTTATTTTTGTTAGAATAAAAAAATAAGTATATTTATAAATCATTTTTTATTTTTTGACCTATTCAAAAAGTACTTATTTAAAAACAATATTTTAGTTATTTCTAGCCCCTTAAAACATATTAACGATAGTTTTTAGTTTTTTATGCTTACATGGGTACAGGAAAATAGTAGTTTGTGCAACAAGAGTGGATATGATGGCCATATCGCACGAAGACGAAATTTGAGCACGACGCCGTAAGCATCCGAGTGCGATGTGGACAATCCACTCGAGTTGTATAGAATATTCTTTCTACGACCCACTAACGAAAATTTACAAATAAAAAAATATATTAGGTTATTAAGACAAAATAACTAATTTCAAAATAATTTATGACTTTTAATAATTTTTAAAATAAAATAAACGAAAAAAAAAAGAAAAAGTTCATTTCAGTTTTCCCCATCCGAGAATCGAACTCGTATCTTCCGCGTGAAAGGCAAGAACGCTGACCACAGGACCGCCTATTCTTTTGTTTTTGTTGCTTTAATACTCGTAATTAAATTGACTTCATATAGTTTTATTTAACTTAACAAATTATTTATATTTTAGACGAAATAAAAACAGCTATTATTTATCGATTCTATACAAGAATAACCCATTTTAATGTATGTTTAATCTCAATAATTAAAGAATATACTGACAATTGAAGTCAAGTTGAAGTCAATAGCTTACTTTTTCGTTCTGTAATATGTGCGTAAATAAGCTAATATCCATGTGGGTGTAGAAAAAAATATTTTATCAAATCAGAACTTCGATATGCCTTATAACTGATTTTTACATGTATAGGCTCAATAAAAAGTGCATTAACAAGGGATTAAAAAAAGTGTAATAACACATTTAATATTTTAACTGGCAATTAGATAATTTTATGTGATATTTAAACCTAGTTATACAGTGTGGTCGTAAAGCATGGAATAAATTCATTTTAATTCAAAATGTCAATTTTTATTTTTATTTATTTTTATTTATTTTTATTTATTTTTATTTATTTTTATTTATTTTTATTTATTTTTATTTATTTTTATTTATTTTTATTTATTTATTTTTATTTATTTCCATTTATTTTTATTTTTTTATCTTTCGTAAAAAATAATTTTCCTGTATATATAACTTTTTGTTCAAAATGTGGAAAATTAAAATTAACAAACGACCTATTTCGGGAATTTTCTTAAATAACTTGATATTTTGGCTAAAAAAGCTGAGAAATTTTTAATAAATGATAAATATGACCACTTGCCATCGTTAAAAGATCATCCTTCATATTAAAAACCAAAATGATCCGTCTGTGGACAGACAGAAATATTTTATTAAAATATATCTGGCAATTATTTTTTGATATTTCATTAATCACAGTAGTTTTTTTTTCGCACATGGCAAGTATTTCGGCTGGAACGTTGCCAGTTATTTATAGATACCTACAACGACACGAGATTTCTAGATATGTGACAGGTTAAATTTACTATGAAATATATTCTCGTGGTGACGTAATATCCAAATTTAACGTTACCGAAGAAGTGTAGATTAGCTTAAATTATTTAGTGGATCGTTTGGCTGCATATGCGTCTTTCATCACTGCAACTTAATGAGTAGATCATTTTGACAAAGAATACCTACCCCAGAAGCGAAACTGAATGAGTTTTCGTATGTACCAATGCAAGGGAACTTAATACACTGGGAAACGTATGAAAATTAATCAATTATTGTCGTTTGGTTCATAAAAATTAAACACATACTAAAATAACAATGCGCTCATTCAACGTCATCAAACGATTTCGAAACAGCTTTTTTGAAACCGTTTGTTAAAATGTAAAAGCGCAAATTAAAGTCGCTTCTACGTTTAACAATCAACGAAATTTTTTATTTGACAGATGTTTTGTGATTTGTAATGTCCATTTTGCGTTTAGTTTGGTCAAGTATGCCAAATGGGAACTAAAGAAAGGGTTCTATGGCAGTGTTATTTACGCAAGTTGAAGTAAAATGTGTCGTGACATATTTTACCGCAAAATAATTTTAATACCTGACTCAAAATGTTTGGAATAATAAATGATTCTAGGTTAATTTAAAGTACAAACTCTATAAAGATATGTCAAAATATTTCAAATTTCAACACCGTCCGTTGTTCGTTCACCGTCATCTAAAGTGAACATATTTTGAAAATTAGAAAGCGGGACGAATCAAAAACATTGAGATTAGGAGATTTTTCGTCAAAAAAATTTATTTTTTGAAGTAGTGACGATTCATTAGATAGCAAAAAACGTCATTATAATGGCTTAAAAAGCGGGGCAAAATCGAGACACATGTTAAATCAGTAGTAGTGAATTAAAATCGGAACTGTTCGACCCACATACTTTAATTTTCTTTTACTATACGGAGAATGGTCGCACTGCGCAGCTTTCTGAGTGCCTTTTAAAACTACGCCATTTTGAACCCTTATTATGTGTTGCCTACATCTTGGCACAATATTTTTAATGGGTGCGTTTTAATCATCCGCTTCTGCTTCGGAACTGTCGGTTTTCTTGTTTTAATCTGACAGTGTATAAACTGAAACATTGAGATCAAAAGTGCCGACGCAGAGTGAGCCATCTGTTTCTTTAGCTGTAAACTGTGTCACAGGGATCAAAATGGCCGCGCTCTATGTTGGGCGTGTCGGACCTCTCTCTTGCCTCGTATAGTAATCAAAGTATGTGGTTCGACCTAAATCGGGACGGATGGTCACTTTACCGTCATCACAACTGTTTACACGAAGCATAGAAACGTATGATTCCTAAACAAATCATTAATCAAATGAAACCGTTTGATGACAGTGAACACGGCTATGAAGAACACGGCCAATGACACAAAAAAATCTTAATATGTTTATTATGTAAAATAGATTATTTTATTAACGAAATAAGTACTGTAGGCACAATAATTACAGTCACTACACAATAGCGTAAGCAGATAATCTGCAAGGACCATTCACTATCTCTCAATCCCAAGAAAACGGAAATGGCCCTTTTTATAAGGAAAAGAATGAAAATGGGTTCTCCCCCAGAGTAGTCACATGGACATACATGGCCATCATAAGATCTATGCTAATATACGGTGCAATTGTCTGGGTACCGAAAATCCAAAAATTGACATCTATCCATAAACTAGAACAAATTCAAATAACAGTATGTTTCAACATAATAAGATCCATGAAAACCACACCAATGAGAGCCATGGAAGTCGTTCTTAGTCTTACTCCCCTTGATATTTACATCAAGGAAGTTGCTCTGATGACAATGACACGCCTCTGCATGGTTGGAATAGAAGATGATGTAGGATCCGGTGAGGCAAGACGTCACTTTTGGCAAAAGACGCTCGATACGCTCCCACTGCTTCAAGCGAACTTGAACTTCATCTCACCGCGATTTATCTTCCATAAGCCATGTATCAAAGGTCACGCCACATCAAAGGGTAGCCGTCTTGCTGATTTACTAGCCAAGAAGACAGCCAACTAAATACTTTTTAAACCTGGCCCTTCTATTGGACTGACATCGGTAGTGACAAACCTAATTGAAGAACATTGCCAAGGAGCTTTTAAGTGTTCCTGACAACACTACGGAAACAAGTACTTGACTATGACTCGACAGAACCTGGGCCTGAACACAGGCATTCTGACTGGTCATTGACAAGTACGGAAGCATCTTCATATTATGGGGCTTTCAGAATCCGCACCCTGCAAGGGGTGCGAACAAGAAGGTGTGAATATCAAGCATATCCCGTTCAATTGCTCAACGCTCTCATTTATTAGAAGATTTGTTTTTGGCGAGTATTGGCTAACACCAACCGATATAAGAGAAGCACCTCTTGGCGACGTTGTCAACTACATTAAATCTAAAGGCTGGCTCACGAGCTAGGAAATTTGAAAAATAAAACATTTACAGCCAGATGCAAGAACGTTAATTAAAATTTACGAACAACGCAATGTAGTTTTTTCAAATAACAAAAATCCTAATACTATCTAATTTCTAATTACTAGTTAGTTAAATACAACTACGTACTTAACTATACTGTAATTTTCACCAAACGCTAATAATAATATACCAAACGTTGCTCTACATAAATTGACAGCTATATTTGACGTTAAACCACCTCTAAAACACTGAGAAAAGTCGGCAGTTTTTTGTCCACGAATCGCTCATTTAGTTTCGCTTCTTGGGTAGGTATTCTTTGATTTTGAGACTGCGATTACAAAAAAATGTCACTTTATATGTCAAAATGAAATTTCAAGTTATTGAACTGTTAATTCATTAAAAAAAATTTTAGGTCCCAAAAAAGTATGGCTATGACCTTGTTGATAGACAGATCCATCTTGACTTTCTTTGGTGCATGTCAACCCAAAAACTCGTTCGGATTGTGCCTGCACATCGCCAAACACTTATTTAAAGTGGTCACACGGATGCGCTTATGGTAGAGTGTGAGCTATCGCGCGGTTAGCTTTCTCATGTCTAAATATTCATGTAAAATATAAAATATGATGTATCCGCTCAGTTGAGATGCCAATAGTCTCAGCCACCTCGCGCACTTTCATTCTGCGATCGACGGTGGTAGCAATCTTAGATTATATGCTCGATGGTCACATCTTGTTCTCACCCCCTGTAGTGTGCGGATTCTGACAGCCCCATGATATGAAGATGCTTCCGTACTTGGCAATGACCAGTCAGAATGCCTATGATCAGGCGTAGTTTTTGTCTATTCATAGTCAAGTATTTGTTGGCTGTAGTGTAAAAGCTCCCAGGCAAGTCTACAGCTTCTTGTTTCATCCCATCTTTCCATGAATTTAACAAGGGAATGTTCTTTAATTAGGTTTGTCACTACCGATATTTTTTCAGTCCAATAGTAGGGCCAGGTCCAAAAATTACTTGGTTGGTTGCCTTCTTGGCAAGTGAATCAGCAAGACGGTTACCTTTCGATGTGGCGTGACCTTTGATCCATCTCTAGTTGACCATATTGTTGATGGATACTTCGGCCAAAGCTTCGTGGCATTCTAGTACTAACACTGAATAAATTCGTGGTCTGTCCAGGGTGAGTAGTGCTTGTCTGCTATATTTATAGATGAGCATGTTTTTTACAGTGATATTATTTCTGGTGAGTTCTTTTGCTACTATGAGAATCCCCCTGAGCCCGGTTTGAACTACACTGGCACTATATTACTTTTATGTTTAGGTTTAAGGATTTAGAGTATATTCCACATCCTGAGCCTTGTTTTGTTTTAGAACCGTCGGTGTAGATATGAATCGTACCTGCCACTTCTGGCTTTTCTATTTGTTCTGTTATAACTTATGGAAGATATATCTCGGCGAGATTGAGTTGATGTTCGCTTGAAGCAGTGGGTCCGTACCGAGCGCCTCATGCCAGATCCTACATCAGCTTCTATTCCAACCGTGCGGGAGCGTGTCATTGTCATCAGATCAACCTCTTAGATGTAAATATCATGGGGAGTGAGACCAAGAATAACTTCTATAGCTCTGGCCGGTGTGGTTTTCATGGCTCCTGTTATGTTGAGAGGTGCTGTTCTTTGAATTTATTCTAGTTTGCGGAAAGCTGTAAATTTTTTGGTTTTCGGTGCCCAGACAACTGCACTGTATGTTAGCATAGGTCTTATGTAAAGTCCATGCGACGACTCTGTAATGAATCTGTAATGAGAATTCTCATTAACCGACTTCAAAAAAAAGGAGGTTTTCATTTCGTCTGAATATTTTTTGCTATGTTGTCCAATTTCTATGATTCTTTTTTGTTAGAAAAGCCGTACTTCAGGGATGGTCCCATATATATTTAGTCAAGATCTATTAATTGGGTCCATGAAAATATCATCAAACTCTTCATTTTTTATGTATGCTCAACGATAATTCCTTACTACATTGTCAAATTTCTACGATTTTTTTTGTTCAAAAAGAGGGTACCTCAGGGGTGGTCTTACATAAATTTAGTCAAGATTTGGCGATGGGATCTAAGAGAAAATCAGCAAACTCAAGTTGTACTGCTATCTGCACGATTTTGAAGTCGGTTTTTTAAAATTACTGTTATAAACTTGTTTTTTAGTTGTTCTTAACCCTTCGACGTTAGCGTCACGAATATTATATTTTATCAATGAATAGCTATATCTCCTGTTTTCTCTGGGTTTGATCGATGTATGTAGATTCTTATCACCGTTTAGGTTTAAAAATTATTCGTTCAATTGTTTTAACCCACTTCTTTTATAGTGTTAAGTGAGACTTTTGAAATCATTATTCACAACACGGTAGGCATTGCTATCTAAAATTCGACACACTGTACATTCTCGGTTCAGACAAAATAGACTGCGCCGACGTACCTACCAGCAATACATTTAAAAAAAAATTCAATGCAAATAATTATTTTTCATTTTTAAAGGATGGATACTTAGTTATAAAGATTTTTAATTATGCCCTTCTTTGCTTCTGTTGGAGTGAATAGTAAATGGCGTTCGCATTTGCAGGTGTGGAAATTATGTGGTGTTGATTACAGGTGTTACAGGTCGTTAGCGTGTTTACATCTGGTGATTCGACGTATGAGTGGCAACATTGATACTGTATCGTTTCTTTTCCTTCAAGTGCAAGCACTGTTGTTTACTCTAATACGGGCAGGGCAGGCTCGAAAGTTTGATCTTGCCAGCACTGTATCTTTTTATTTTTACTTTAATTTTAACAGATGAGAAGTATACACGAATAATTATTGCTTCTGGATCACTAGGTACCTATAAGCATGATTTTTACTAAAATGGTTGAATTTAGGAATTTATAATTTGCATGGAGTTATTTATTTACAAAACTTTCATAAAAATATCAATTATTTAATATTAAATTCTAAAAAAATATTTCTTTCACAACAGCAAAAATAAACGCATTGTTTACACTAATAAATACTGTAAAGGTTCTAAAAATAGAACAAACTGTATTTAACAATTTCTTTATTGTGTTGAAGCAGTTACAGCTTAAAATATTCAATTTTATAAGGTATTTTGGTTTTTGTCTTTCCAATAATTTAAAATAATCTTGCATGTCAACGATTTCAGGTCTAACCTTAAAACAAGACATTAATACGCATTCAAATAAATTAGGTATGTACCATGATTTTGACTAAACGTTATGAAACGTGTATCACCAAACTTTACTAGAATACTTTGTTTTAATAAAGCTCATATAACGTTTGGTATCTTCATGGGGTGGTGGAGTTATTTTTCTTTTGAATATTTTTGACTTGAATTTCCTTATGCTAAAAAATAGCATTTTGTATTTTCGGCGAATTTTTTTATAACTTTAAAAAAACATTAACTGCATGGATGATTTTGGATGGGATGTGAAAATTTTTCAATATTGTCCAGTTTTTCAATACTCCTATTAACCAACAAGATGAATGGTATTTTACGTCATAAGCAAAGAATACCTTCATATTTTTTCATATGAGCATTTTCTAGATGTTCAAAAATACAAACTTTGAGTTTTCTTTTTCATTTTTTTTTACAAATAAATCACAGTAATAATATTAAAGTTAAGAGTATAGGGAACTACGGTGGTACTACTAGTCACGTTTCATCAATAATCCAATAATTCATCATAGCAGAAATATATTCATTTGGTGATTCACCATTCAAATTAAGTCACATAGTGTTAAGTATTTTTTTGGCACAGTTTTTTGAGCATAATTTTCTTTGCGTTAAGAATTATTGGCGATAAATTTACAAAGACATTTCAATTTAATTATTTTTAATTACATTTTCTAGAAATAACAAAATCAAGATTCAAAATTTTCGTTTGGTGTGATATTAACATTTAAATTTTTGCGAAGAAAATCTTCCCCTAGTTTGTTATTGATTTTTTTTGTAGATATTTATAAGTTACATCGACGTAATGGCTACTAAAAGAGAACGACAAGCAGAACTAGAACAAACTTACTACTTTCAGTGTCGTTGTCCCAAATGTATTGTACCGGAACTAATCATTGAAATGACAGGAGCGGCTTGTCCAAATTCCGACTGTGATAATTGTATAGATAGCATATCGATGCAACCAGGTGACAAGTGTTCTAAATGCGACTCATTGATTACTGAGGAGTTCATAAAAACTTTCAAAGAAGTTTTGGATATGACTTGTATGCATTTGGATAGTATGAAAGACACTACGTGTATCCTTTAGCTAATAATTTATTTGTAACCATCCAAAATGAGTCAACAAGATATATCGTAATTTTGCTTCGGAACCAGTTTACTTTCACTGAGTCTCTGCGGGTGTATTTTTTGCCATCCATTCATAATAAAAGTCAAATCAAATTATAAATACAAATACTCATAATCAAACAAAAAGAAAATTACATTTGTGGATGTATAATTGACACTCAGGGTAGGAAACATAACAAAGGAGGGTATGCTTTTGATAGGGAAATTTGGGCGGTGTCTGACAAAAAAATTTTAATCTTTTAAATGCTTAGAAACAAGTAATGTTAATAAATTCAATGTGGCAACGTTTCGTTTTAATTATTTTAATGACTAATTGTCAGAAGTGACATTTTCTTGTTATTGTTAAAACAAAAAGTGTGAATCGTTTTATTTTCAATTCGTTTATTATTTAATTAGTTAGAATACCTTTTTATTTTTACACTTTTTGTATATATATTCGATAATTTTACATGGCCCCAATAAAGTGTTTTGGGTGCGATGGGTACATCAATAAAAAAAGTACTTCAAAAGCGGACAACAATGAAAGCTACCGGCAGTTTCTACTGAATATTCGAGCACGCAGAGAAATTGACTAGGTAGAGCCTGGAGGAAACTCGCGCATTTGCACCCAATGATATGCTACGTTTCGACGACAAGGTAGAGTAAAGCAATGTTTATAGTAGCAACATAATAAATCTTGTTTGTTTTTATTCTAAAGGTAATGAAATAAGACCTAATATCCAACAAGATCCTATTCCCATCATTGAAAATGTGTACAATGACGAGGTAGACATTGAAAATGATAAAGGGAATGGCGAAAACAGAAATGGACCGCTCAAACTGCCAAATAATTAAAGATCTTGTTGCGTGAGCGGTGTTCTTAGACGGCAGCGTATTTCAAAAGAAGCTGTTCTCAAGTTATGGATTCAAAACCGGATATTTTTCAACTTGGGGAACCGATCATGCCTGGAACATTTTGAGAATGGTTACCTTTCTGAAGAATCTGTTGCGATTGCGGGCTGCTCCTAGGCAGCTTACTCATGGTGATAATGAATGTTTAATTAATCTGCTTACTGATCGCGTAGTAGCTCGAAGAAAAAAGCAAGATATTTGATTTTGACGATGAAAATATGGGTGACGACGTTTGCAAGTGCTTAACCGGATTAAGTAAAGCGCAGTTTGCAACGGTTGTAGGTAACTGCTATAACTTGACACCTAGAAGACAAGTTAAAAAAAATGCGTAGCTATTTTTCTAATAAAACTGAGAAATGGTTCAACTCAAAACGTTTTAAGCAAGATGTTTGGCATGAAACCGAAGTTACAATATCTTATTAGTAAAATATTCCACGATGTTCTTAACTTACAGTTCACTTTGTTCCTCTTCATCTTGGTTACCAACATATAACTCGTCAAGAATACGCTACTTATTACAGTACCACTACCTCAAATCGTTTGTGTCACGTTTTTTTTCTGCTGGGCTCGTTTGACTATGTCTCCGAATGAATAACTCTGAAGCCTATATTGGCTTATTGTGTTTTACCCCATGTTAGTTCATAGCACCCACTCTGTCACCTTTGTACCTTGTACAAGTTTGTACAGATCCTTGGGTGAGTGTTGTTGGATCAACCTGGGGTTGTTCAAAAAGAGCCTGTCTTTTGCGATCTAGAGCTTCGCATTCGCACAGTATGTGTTTAGCCGTTTCTGATTTCTTGTGACATAGTCGGCACATGAGTTCCCCATTGTACATGCCAATTTTGTTCAAGTGTCCCTTTACTGGGACATGCCCAGTCATGAACCCTGTTATCACTTTCAACTGGTTCCTATTCATAAAGAGTAGTTCTCCAGTTCTTTTGGGACATGGTCTGCCTATGAAGGCTTTTCCATGTGACTGTTTTGGGGTGCTTCCCCAATAGTTGATATGTTATTCCCCAATCCAGTCGTTTATGAAAACCCGGAGTGTACTTTTTGGTACTCCTGGGTTTGTGTCTGGTTCCGGTGTTTCTTCTGACCCTCTTTTTGCAAGTTGGCCAGCCTTTTCGTTGCCTTCGATCCCTTGGTGACCTGACACCCAAAATAGTTTTACTCTATTTCGGTCTGCCAGTGTTCGAAGTTCTTCGATGCATTCCCATACCAGCCTCGACGTAACTTTCTGACTCGATATGGCCTTAAGTGCCGCTTGGCTGTCTGACATTATTTGAATATGCTGATTTTCGACAGCTCTTTCATTGTTCGTTTTTGTACATTGCAAAATTGCGTATATCTCGGTCTGAAATACCGAGGAATGTATTCCTATAGCATAGCTGTGGTTAGTATCAGGGTTTTTAGAGAATACTCCCGCCCCACTGCCTTCCGCAGACTTAGACCCGTCTGTATACCAGGTTTGTTCCTGTCGTTGGGCATTGGGCTCCCTTATGGTGATCTCCGCTCTTTCCTGTATTAAAACCTCAAATGGAGTATTAAAAGAGTATCTCTTGGTTATGTGGTCTGATCTCATGTCTAGCACGTCTCCTGTCACTAACCTTGAGATACTCATGTGACCTGGCCTAATGTCAAGATTTCCCAGTGTATTTCCTAATCTGTAAGCACCCAATCTTGTCTCCCCTTGTATCACATAGTGAAGAGGTGGGAGTCCTATTAGTGCTTCCATTGCAGCAGTGGGGGTTGTTTCCATTGTCCCCGTTGTTCCGAGGCAGGCAAGTCTTTGTACTTTGTTTAGTCTTCTTATTGCTTTCCTTTGCTGTGTCTTTGGCCACCACACCAAAGCTGCGTTTGTTATTATCGGTCTCACCACCATGTTATAAAGCCAATATACCATGTCTGGTTTTAACCCCCATTTTTTTTCCAAAGGATCGCCTTGCCATCATTAACGAGGTTTCCGCTCTCCTGTGGTTTTTTCTATATGCTGGTTCCATGTAAGTCTCGAGTCAATCATAACCCCGAGATATTTTACCTCCCACTTAAGCTGGATGATCGCACCTCTTAGGTTTAGAGGCCCTAGTCCCTCCAATTTCCTCCTGCGGGTGAATGCAATTATGTCAGATTTGTTTGGGCTAATGTTTAGTCCTTCCGCCTCTGTCCATTTTGTTACTATATTTAGAGCCTCTTGCATTCGATCTCTTGCTATAGTGTTGTATTTTCCCTGTGCCATGGTCACTAGATCATCTGCATATCCCAGGGTTCTATGTCCCTTATCTTTGAGAGCCCTAAGCAGTCCGTCCACTACAAGGTTCCACAGGAGTGGAGACAGCACTCCACCCTGCGGACATCCTCTCGCTACCCGTGCCGCTATTGTCTCTCCCATAAGCGTTGTGTATATAGTTCTCTCCCTTAACATAGAGTCGATCCAGGACACGCACGTGTCCTCGATTCCTCTGTGTTTAAGAGATCTAATGATCTATTCAACGGAGGTATTGTCAAATGCACCCTCGATATCCAAGAATGCTCCCAGCATTACCTCCTTGTTTTCCAGTGTGTTCTCCATCCCTTTTATTAATTGATAGAGAGCTGTTTCAGTTGATTTCCCTGCACTATAGGCGTATTGGTCTTGGTATATTGGCCTCTGAACCAATATCCCGTCTCTAATATGCCTATCTAGCAGTTTTTCCAAAGTCTTAAGTACAAAGGACATAAGACTTATTGGTCTTAGGGACTTTGCCGTTTCCTGTCCTATTTTCCCAGGTTTTGGTATGAAAGTTACCCTAATATTTCTCCAAGCTTTTGGTATGTGTCCAAAGGTCAGGCTACTTCTGAGTATGTTATAGAGTCTACTGTATAAAATATCAGGACCTCTTTGTAACATTATTGGATAAATCCCGTCCATGCCCGGTGATTTATATGGTTCGAATGAGCTAATTGCCCATTTCAGTTTATCATAGTTCACCACTTGTTTGGCTATCCTCCAATCTTCCCTGTTGGCTCTATTATGAGCTTCCAGTCCGTTTAGATTCCGGTTAGCCGGTGCGTGTGCTATGGTTTGTGCACCAGGGAAGTGAACCCTGAAGATTTCCCTTACTGTTTCCTTCCCTGTGATTGTGTACTCCCCCAGTTCGTTCTTAAGGGTGTTTATTGTGTGTCTTTTGAGATACTTTTTTGGAGCCTGGCACATTCTTGAGCGCTGGCTATCTCCTCACAGTGCCTTCTCCAAGACTCTCTCTTGACTTTTCGTAAGGCTATGTTGTAACAGGTGCGTATGGTTCTATATAGATCCCATTCGCCGGTTATTTTAGCCTTATTAAATTTTTGTCTCACCTGTTTCTTTAGTATAGCAAGGTCATCATTCCACTATGGAACTTTCCTGATAGAGTTCCTTGCTATTAAGGGACAGGTATCGTTGAAAGCGCTAGTGACTGTGTCATTAAACTCATCCACAGCCATTTCTAGGTCGATTGTTGTTCTTATCGTCTTTCTCATATTCGGAAGATTACATTCCAGGGAAGCAGCCTCCCAGTCTGTTTTCCTGGGATTCCGATAAGTTTCTTTTGCAATATTACCTTTAATATTGAAGTTTATGTGTCTGTGATCTGAGAAATTCTCTTCGTCAGACACATGCCAGTCTGTAACAAAATTATTCAAGTATGTTGATGCTATTGTTACACTAGTACCTCCTTTCTGTTTTTTGTTATAAAGGTCGGTTTATTGCCTGCATTTGTTATGTCTAAATTATTTGCCACAATAAATTGTAGTAATGACTCACCTCTTTCGTTGGTATCGGTGCTCCCCCAGATCCTGTGGTGTGCGTTTGCATCACAGCCAATGATCATCTGCATTCCGTTGCGCCTGTAGAATCTCACCAGCTCCTCCATTTCTCCTCCACTTCTCTGATAGATATATTATTGATGTTACCGGCTCGCAAACTTCAGATGCTAGAAACAATGATTCGTCGATATTTAATGCTATGGCTGTTAAAGAGCACAGATTTTTTGATTTTTTCAAGAAGGTGACAGCATTGTATATGATCGCGGTTATCGAGACTCGATGCAGTTTTGCCAGTTCATCCCACGTTTATAACATATCCAATCATCATCTCTGATCATTTAAATATTCCCAGAAATATGTTCTGTTTACTCTAAACAAATTCACCAATTTTAAATGCAAGTACATAACACTACATCATGCTATTATTAACATACTGACTTAGCTATACAGTGAGCACCATAAGTCTTACCCCCCCTATCTAACTCGTTACTGGAATCTTGTTAGGAAAATCGCCGAGACACGTCGATTTTTGATTTCTACAATGTACATTTTTGTATGAATAGTTTACCCTTAATTTTATCCCTTACTGGAGGGGAGCAACCCTTTCGAAAAATTTAAATGGCATGGGGTGGTGAGTGATAGCTCATTTGAAAGAGGGTTTTATTCTCTATTCAACGGTGTAAAAAAATTTGAAATTCTCGACTAATTGTTGTTTCAGAATAACGGAAATTAACGTAGCGCACTCATCCTTAGAATTAAAATTCGGCCCTGCACATTTCGGTTTTGGTTCAGACGTGAAGTAAGACTTTTTGCCATTAGAAGGTCACTGTTAGTCTAGTTGCTTTCCTATTTTGTGAGGTTTTGTTATTTTTAAACATTAATAAATCAACACGTAATGAAGCAAATTTTAAATTTTTTTGCACGGTTGAATAGAGAATAAAACCCCCTTTCAAATGAGCTATCACTCACCACCCCATGATATTTAAATTTTTCGAAAGGGTTGCTATCCTCCAGTAAGGGATGAAATTAAGGGTAAACTAATCATGCAAAAATGTACATTGTAGAAATCAAAAATCGACCTGTCTCGGCGATTTTCCTAACAAGACCCCAGTAACGAGTTAGTTAGGGGGTAAGACTTATGATGCTCACTGTATATTAATTATTGAGTCTTATTTTAACTTAAAGAATGAAGGATTTATATTGCTGCAAGCTCTAACTTTATATAAAACATTGTTGGATTCCTTAATATGTATTCAGATTTGGACGTCTGTGAAGTATGTCTCAAAAAGCAAAAAAATGTTTTCTATAAATACAACGTGAAACACATAAAAACTATGGACTTGGCATTTGACAGCAGTATAGAATTTGGGAAATTCGATGATGCGACAGAGTATGGTCTACATCTTATTAAAAGTTTTTAGTAAGTGTTTTTAATGTAAAAGACATATTTTAATTTTTACCAATTCGATATCTTTTCAAACTAAATAAATTAATTAGTAATTGGTGTAAATACATTACGTTTCGATAGTCTGTGATTCGTTTTCACTGAATTTGATCGGTTTGTCTATTTTTACAAACTTAATAAATTAGTATTATCGTTGCAAATTAGATTCTAATTAAATTTTTCAGTCAATAAAATCTAAAACAAAAATTGATTTGAACGAATTCACTTTAATTTACAATTCTATGGGTTATTTTGATGTCCCGGAGACTAATTTTAAAGTCCCACAAATATCCTGAGAAACGCTCTCCAATGAAAATACCTCTTCGGTATTATTTTAGGTCTATTTGCCAGTTTCTTTTCAGTCTTCTATTGTTTCTTTCTTCCAATAGTGGTTGGAGTAGTATGCTAGTACGTGACTCCAATCTTTGGTGATGCTTTTGGCTTCTTTGCTGAATTGTCTCTTGAACTTTTGGAGTATGGAGTTCTTTATGTATTTTCTGGTAAGATACTAGAGTGTGTCTACTATTGCTCGAAAAATCTTGGATCACGACCTTTGTAAAATAACTATACTGATTTTTTTGGCACATCCTCACAATTCTATGCTATATGTCTAGATTAAAATAATTACAGCAGTAGTGGTTGTTTAAAAAATACAAGAAAATGTCAAATACAAAAGTTTGACGGTTTGCAAAGGCGCCTATTGTAAAAATATTTTACAATATACAGGATACCCCTAAAAGACAAGGCAACATAATTATTTTTTTTTTCAAATTGACCCTGTATTTTATGTTAGAATTCTACTAAAAAATCTAAGTATTTTTGTCGAAAAACCATGTGTTTAAATTCCATTAGGGAATCCAAATCAAGTGACTTAAAATGGAGAACGCTTGGCAAAAACAACAAAGGTAGGTACGTGCTTACCTTGACAAAAACACTCTTCTAGTAAGTTGATATATTAGTCTAAAGTTTGTGTATTACTTTTTTTTGGAGCGTTTAAAAGTTATTTTCGATGTGTTTAGTTAAAAATGGCATAGATTAATATTTATTAAGAATATAATATATGAATATTAATTGTATGATTACAATAACAGTCAAATACTAATGACAGGACATTGGATTGCCTAATTATTTTCAAGCTTTTGACATTCGACTTTTGTCTTTTTTACATTTTGACAAGCTGTTATGTCCAATCGCTTGAAGTTAGAGTAAAAGACGTATGAGAACTTTTTAATGTAAAAAATCAAACTTAACCGGAAGTGGTTTATTTTATTGCATATTTATATGAAGTATAAAAAACTAAGGTAGGGACACTCCTGTTTTATCTTATATAATTTCAACTGATTGCCAAATTTGGCAAGCTATAGTCAATTTTCGAATGTCAAAAGCTAATAATAAAGAAGTTTTACATATGCCGCCAAGTTCTACGCAAGTAAGCGGCATATGGAAAACTTTTTTCCGCCTACCTCTATCCAAAGTATACATTTTCTGGCCTCATTGCAGGGAGCAAAGTCGTACTTTTCCTCCCTAGGGAGAAAAAGTAAAAGTGACGTCATGGTATGTCATAAATGGAATAGCTTATACGGCATTGACGACCTAAACTATATTCTATTATATAAGTATAAATTTTACCGTTTATTTAGAGAACACCCTGTATTTTGCAAAATAGTAAAAACCAGTAAATTGTTATTTTAATTTAACGATTTTTACATTAATAATTTGACTTCAATTCATAGATTCATCCGATTTTCGAATTTAGGACAGAAATATTATAGCATGCTATGGTCGATTGACAGATCAGTTTCAAAGTGTGTTACGCTATAATATATCTACAAAATATAAAATAATATTTAAAAATGAGTGATTTAAGCGAATTTGAAGATATAATTAATACACCACCGGATATTTTGGAACAGGTTAATGCAACAGTACAATCTCTATTACCCCAAAAATCTAAAGAAAAATACGAAAAACAGTATTTACATTTCAAGCAATGCGCCGAAGAAAATTATTTAAAAATGACTTGTTATTTGAGGGAGGCGGAAAAATCATATATATTACTTGGGAGTAAAGTGCCTTTTCCTCCCTTGGATGTTTACTGCCCTCCGCTTCGCGTCGGGCAGTAAACTTCATCCGGCGGGAGGAAAAGTGGCACTTTCCTCCCTAGTAATACAAATAGCTATTTAATGTTATTTTTAGGGAAAACCTAAAATTCAATCATCTGATATCAAATTTTATCAGTTATATACGAGGATTGTCAAAAATAAAGGTACTTTACTCTTCAGCAAAATTCATGTTATTTGACATACCTCGTATACTATCGTAAAAATTTGATATATGATGGTTGCATTTTAGGTTTCAGGCCATGCAGAACTTTTTGTGAAGAATAACTTTATTTCGTTCCCATATTCTGCTAAGTTTTAATAATTCCTTTTTTTTAGTGAATATTATGGAAAGATTCATCCGATGACTGGATTGCTCCATTTAAAATTGGCAAAATTGTTCTTATATCAAAACCGATCTAGAGAAGCGCTCCACAATCTCCAAAAGGCAAAAGAAATCTTAAAAATAACTCACGGATTAACTAGTTCATTGTTCAAAGAACATATCATACCACTTTACCAAGATGTTATGTTAGAGAACGATATGTAGTTTTTTAAAATAAAAACGTATTTTTTTAATAGTTTCTCTATTTAATTTAATACTGAAGAAAAGTAGCTTTCTTGATCTGATATCGGCCACATGGACCTTATTGTAGAAAATAATTTATTTCTTTAGCAATTAGTTTGTTGATGTGGTGCCGTCAGTTGCTAATATGTGTACAGTATATTTTTATTGTAATAAGGATAATTTCCTGGCCGTAGTATAATTTTATATAAATAAAAAGTTCCTTAGTTTTTCCATCTTCTGGTGCAGTCAATATATTAATAAAAATATGAGGGACGAATACAGTTTAATTTTTTTTTGAAATAATAGAATCCTCATTTTTTTTTCACTGTGTGTGAAGGTGTGTAATGTTAGATTTCTTGGAACCTGGAAAGTCTTCTTTTTAATAATGATTAAATAAATTGAGCTGAATTTTTATGTTAAACGAATTAAACATTTTTTTAAACAGTGAAAATGTTTGACAATTTTAGTTTATTAATTGATGTTTGATTAACGAATGCAAGGAAAGGGGCTCAAACACCCTTTGTAGGAGAGCCGTTCGGCGGTATCAGCAGTAACATAATATTAGGAGATATTAAAAAAGAATTGGGCAGTAGAAGAACCGATAATTGGAACAATCTCTTGGGGCTGAGACAGGCCAAGATACTTCTGGGTGAATATAATCAGAAAAGATCGGAAGCCTGCATCTGCCTGAGCAAGAACAGGCTACGTATTGTAACAGGGATCCTTACCGGGCATTGCCGACTAAAAGGACACCTAAGTAAACAGAATAGTAGAGGATAGTGAGTGCAGATTCTGTGAGGAGGAGGACGAAACCTCCATTCACATCCTAACTAAATGTGTAGCAGTCCAGAATCCAAGGGCACTATATCTAGCAGAATATCAAATAGAAGAGGGAGATTTACCTAACTTGAAGCCACTTCAAATCCTACACTTCCTTGAGAAAATAGGATTGGAAGGGTCACTATAGGCATTGAGACATTTCCTTAGTGCAGGGGCGACAGATGGGGGCACAATAGATCTTTTAGGTCGCAGTGTATTAACACCCCATTCTCAACATAACATAACGAATGTTTTGACTCAACTATGTGTGATTCCAGAATGATTTTTAATTGAAGAAGGTTGTTATATTGACTTGACGAGATCTGTTTAGCCAACGAGGGAATATTTTAGCTTAAAACAGTGATAAATGAGATGCAGCAAAATGCTGTTGCCCTGCAGTATTTTTCAATACCTTTTAGAATGAATTTAATTTTACAGGCAAAATATTCTCGATCATATTTTTGACTTTACCAATATTTTTTAAATCATTCTGTATTTTAACCTCTGCTGTGGACGTCGTCAATTATTCCTACCAATATTTTAATGCATTTCAATTATGGGGTGTGAGAATTTCCGTACATTCAGCATTGACATATTCAGGGATTTTATCCGAGTATAAAGAGTTCCTGTCTATTTCACAGTTGAGTTCTACTTGAATGCGATATATTGAAATAAAACATGGTCTAACAAAACCTACTAAAATCGTAGTAAAAACTAATATTAGTGATTTATACCAAAGTGTAGATAAAAATATAGTGAATCAAATGCACAATAAATTATAAAATAATAACTGCAAGTAGCTCCATTGACCCATTAGGCTACAATTTGCAATATTATTTGTTACCTTTTTGATAAATGTTAATTTCAAAACACGTATAGATATTTTTACTAGCTCAGTGAAATTTAATATCAAACGTTACTTACCTTTAAAAATTAGAAAAAATAAATGAGCACATCCTTTTCTCTGTCGTGAATTCGGCTTTTCAAATAGACAATTTTAAGGGTAGTAATCTCTAGGAAATGTTGGGCACCAATAATTCTCTTTTTTATTTTTAAAAGCTAGTGAGAATTATAAATTCTAGCTTTATCAATAAAAGGAAGTTAATAAAAATTATACAGAATTTAGTGAATGAAAGAGAATTTTTTGTGACCTTTAAAAAATAAGATTCAACATATATACTTATAAAAATTAATGATTTTATTTAAAAAACGAAACCTTTTCGAAAACAAATCATTCACAGTTATCAGGTGTCAAATTGTGATTCGTACATAAATAATTCTAGTCACTAGTAATTACCACATTTTACTTTGTTTGCTAACCACTTCTAGATAGCCATAGGTAGTTGAGATTTCTGTCCCTCGGAAACCAACGCCTTTGTCGGTTAATCTTTCTTCTTATGAAGCTTCGAATTGTAGCTGTCGCTTTTCCAATCAACTAACTTTTCATAAGAGATTTCTGCTCCTCGAGAACCAACGTTCAGATTACAGCGGTTGAATTATGGCTTTATGACGTTATGGCTTATGGCTGATTCCATTCGTTTGCTAGACAAAAATAGATTTTGTTTTTCACGTGGTTCTGTACGATATATAAATTTGAAACATCTACTTTTTTAAAAAAAAAAATGAACCAATCAGATAATAAAAACTAGTGACTATACATATTGTGCCGTTCTAGCAACCAGAATGAATCATAAAAATATATTTAACTTTACTATTAAAAAACTAATAATTAACAAAAGGTTTGAATAATATTTCTACTGAGATATTTAATAAAGACATTATATACTTTTTATGCTTACCACTTTAACAGCCAAATGCACCACCGATACAATCGAAAGGTAATAATAAAATGAAATTTACAAATCTAATTTGAGATCGTTTGGTTAGTGGTACTCCCACTTCAAGAAATGTCCCTTTCTTTAGAATATTGTGTGTTGGCGATAATTAAATTATACCGGATGGCACACATTTAAAATAACATTTTATAATTAGACTTTTTAAATGTTACAACAGGTACAACCAAAAATAAACCGTTGTAATAAATATAATATTAAAGAAAGTTGACATTCACATACAAGGGCACTTCAAATAATACTAATTATGTCAACATCCAAAACAAATAGTATTCCTAAAGAAATCTCTACAGGAGATATTGACCTTTTATTGCAAACAATAAATGATAATATAACCCGTAAAATAGAGGATGTGCAACAAGAAGTCAAAACGATAAGGGAGGTAATACATCAAGAAGTAGAATCTGTTAGGCAAAGCGTTAGCTCCTGTTACGAATAATGTTTAACATAATTTTAAAATTCTTATTTTAACATCTTTTTTTATCTTGTTTTGTTTCTAAGATGTTATGAAAAAAAATTGCTTACTTTTCCAACAACTAGGTCTTAATCAAAAATAATAAAATTGTCAGATTAATATAAGAAAGGAATATTTAGCACAGAGGAACAGTAAGTAATAGAAAATTTGTTAGTTCTATATTTTTATTTATGTTATTTTAGGAATTTGAGTATATTGATTTACTTGTGTATTTACAAATTAATAAATCATTAATACAAATCCGTCTATTGCTGGTAGATATTCCCAACAGCTCCCTTCAAAAAGAAAAAAACGAATTGAAAAACAAACTAAAGTTAACAGAAAGGAAACTCAAACTAAATAACTTAGTTATTTACGGTCTACCTGAGGAGGAAGAGGAAAATGAATATTTTTTAATAAACGTATTATTGAATTTAATAATACATTAAAAGTAAGTTTACAGACTGCCGAAATTAATAATACATATACAGGGTGTTTCAAAAAGGTGTGTCATAAATTCTTCCTCAGATAGATTACCAAAAAATAAGTGGATTTGGCTATATTTACCTATATCAAAAATTGGCTTCTAACAGAATTACAGGGCGTCAAACTAACATTCAAAAAAACGTTTTTTTCTTTTGTAAAAAGTTTGCTGCTGCGATTTTTTCTTGAATTTTTTAACAGTGCTGTAGATTTAAAGGCCCAATATTCTTAGGAGAAAAAAAATTAAAGCGACTCCCTTAAAAAAAGTTGGGAGGTTGGGTACCTTTTAACCCCTGTATTTTTTTTGAAATAAGGAAACTTGCTTTATCGACCTTAAAATCAAAAAGAACTATGAATTTTTAATTTTTTTTATAGCAAAATGCACTTTGTATCTTTCTTAGTTAACGAGCTATTTACAATTTTTAACTGAATTTCTAGAGTAATTCGTCCGTCCTGGACTTAACATATCAACAAAACTAAGAGTAGGTCAGGAGTTATTGTACAAAAAACGCATATTAAAATCAGTGGTGTGCCTAGGGCTGTGCTTGTTGATATGTTAAGTCCAGGACGGACGAATTGCTCTAGAAATTCAGTTAAAAAATTGTAAATAGCTCGTTAACTAAGAAAGATACAAAGTTCATTTCGTTATTAAAGAAATTGAAAAATTCATAGTTCTTTTCGATTTTATGACCGATAAAGCAAGTTTCTTTATGTCAAAAAAAAATACAGGAGGTTAAAAGGTACCCAACCCTCCAACTTTTTTTAAGGGGGTCGCTTTACTTTTTTTTCTTCTTAGAATATTGGGCCTTCAAATCTACAGCACTGGCAAAAATTTCAAAGAAAAAATCGCAACAGCAAACTTTTTACAAAAAAAATACGTTTTTCTGAATGTTAGTTTAACGCCCTGTATCTTTTTTGGGAGCCAGTTTTTGATATAGGTAAATATAGCCAAATCCACTTATTTTTTGGTAATCTATCTGAGGAAGAATTTATGACATACCTTTTTTAAACACCCTGTAGAATTGGAAAAAGAACTCTAATTCCCGCCCAGGGTTGGTGTCCGTAATGTCTTATCTAAAGAAAAAAATATTAAGTAACTGTACCAGTCTCAGAGGAACATCGATTAAAATAGTTGAAGATCTGATAGAAGAAGATAGAAAAGAAAAAAGATATTAATAGAGAATCTTAAAATAACGCGAACTGGGAATAAGAAAGCCTATATAAAGGGATTAAAACTTTTCATAGAAGAAGTCCCATATACTGCCAATGAATTGGTAAATCTGAAACAAGAGATTAATTTCCCCCCCCCCCCCCCCCGTCCTCAAAGAAAAGTTACCAGTAAACCATCAACACCTACTCCTAAAAAAATTGAAGATCCAGTTTTTATTTAAAAACACATTACTC